GAGAGAGAGAGAGAAAGAAAGAGAAAATGAGATATATGTGAAATGCGCCTCTTTCTGTTCCTCTTTCCACCTATTTCTACCTTCATGTCCATTATCCACTCGGATTACACGCCGGAGGACTTCGCTTTCGTACGCGTAAACGGTTTTAACATTGGAAAATTGTTTTTTTGCCCATTCGCTGCCGAGTTTCACGAACATGACGCATTCACCTATACCTGGCGACTATCAGGAATGTATTTTTTATTGTTTGCGTATCATTGTCCGTGCGATATCTTCTGTGAAATTTTGCTCTTTGATCAATTGAATTGCAGGAAGGATCTCTTTTGTTCTTTTTTGTAAATAAATTTGAATATTATTAAAATATCTTTCTAAGAACTGCATAATGATATATAATAATATGGAAATTTTTGAAAAACGAAAAAAGCGATATTTAATAATAAAATAAATTCGTTTGTATCCAAATCGTATTAGATACTCTTTTTACTGTTTGTATTCTTTTTATTGTTTGTGTATTATTCTTCAAACGATATCTTTTGCGAAATTTTCTTCTTCGATCAATTGAATTATATACTGCAAAAGGATATCTTTTCCTTTCTAAAAATAAATTCGAATATTAAAATATCTTTCTAAAAATCGTATAATATTGTACGATGATAATATTGTAATTTTTTTAAAACCGAAGGAATAATTAATAATAAAATAAATCTATATCTGTTTGATGATTATCTCAGATATGTATTTTTTATTATATTTTTTATTTGCGTATTATCATCCGTACGTTATCTTTCATGAAATTTTTTCTTCGATCATTGAATTATATTGCAGAAACATCTCTGTTTCTCCTTTTTTTATAAATAATGAAATTCGAATATTATTAAAATATCTTTATAAAAGTTGTATAACGATAATAATATTGTAATTTTTGAAAAGAAAAAAACTGAAAGAACTGATAATTAATAATAACAAAAACTTTCTCATTCAAGAATTTTCTCTTGTAAAATGTATGCTTTTTCTATAATAATCGAATCGTTATTATTATAGAAGCGAGGAAGCACGCGTTTTTAAATATATATTTCCTCATTTAAAAATATTTCTTTGTATAAAGAATGTTTTTACTGTCTTTTGTATTATATTCATTATTAAAATCATTACAATTTCTGTTTTAACGAACATTTAATATCATCTTGGAAAAAGTTTCAAACTCTGAAGATAAAAACTAAAATGTTAATGTTTACAAGAGGTTTCGTCGCGTATTGTTTCGCTTCTTCTTGTTTGTTTATGAAATCAATTGGAAATGTCACGTATTTTTCTCGCGAACGTACTTTCCTAGATTAAAAATATCTTAATGTATAGTTTTTCAACAATCTTTCTACATACTGCATGTTGACATCTTTTACAGAATTAGAAGCGAAAATATCCCACTCGGAGAATAATACGATTAGTTCAAATCGTTCGTCAATTGTAGCCGATATTAAAATCGACATTTTGTTTCAAGAATTATCGAAAAGACCGGCAAATAAAAATCTCTTTCTCATGTTTCGTCATGTAAAATACACAATCAGTTTCTATAACATATCCCGAATTAATAAAATAAAATTATCAAATTTATCTTCCACTCCATTGTCTGTATCATCTTGATATGGAACGGCGCGATGAATTAGAAATGTCTGCAATCGCTTATAGTCTTCGTATAGTCTCTTCGATCGTACAAATTCTAAATAAGGAATAGGCTCTCGAACGGCGGTCTACCTCTCGCGAGTTTTATCGAATCACAGTGTTTACCTTCTTATGCTGGATCCTCTGAAAGAAAAGATAAATGCGACGAAAGGAGAATTTCATTCATTTAACTCGACAGCAACGAAACTGTCTCTGTCACAATATGATTTTTCATGAAATTTAAATTGAAAACATACTTTTAGATATATTTATTATAAATACATTTAATTTTTTTTTTTCATACGGTGACACTGCACCTTTGATTTCGCTATGTTTGCATTTCTTGCACGTCTCGAGGTCTTATCTGTCGAAGAATAATATTAAGCTCACATTCCGTCGCATAAGAGTAACGTCATCTCGAAAACGATATTTGTTTTGACAGCCTTCGAGTGCTGGAGGGTCACAAACGAGTAGTCCGTTGGCGGACAGTCGATCTGTGAGCTCAGTTTCATATTATTGTAATATCTTTATCTCTTTCAACGTTAGAACGCACAGCTGACGCTCTTTCGGTTCTCTCCGACATCCTTATGGCATTTCCCGTCTCGTTTTGAAATTGACGTCTCGTTCGACCGCATTATTAGATATCGGGGATAAAATCTATAGCTTTGAAATATTGAGCTTTACAAGTTTCTTGGCTCTCGTAAATTCAATAACAGAATATTTCCATCTCATCGTTCTCGAGTTGGGAATTGCGAGTAAAAAAAATTCTCTCGTTCCGTTCTATCTGATGACGTGCATCTTCGATTCGATTTTCGGCGCGTGGATATCTATTGCTGTCGGACAATTGGCTAAATAAGCACTCGTCGTGCTTCGCAACAGGCTAATATTCTCTCGGCTCTCATCTCTTGGTAACTATTAATTAGAAACGGTCCTGAAGGTAACCGCGATGCCTTGGGCTAGGTCCGTGTGAATTCTCGTCCACCGCGTTCTGCGCGTTCAGATCCGTCGCGCCGTACGAGTTTCTCGCACATGCAGAAGCTTAATTCGTTTAATTCGAACGCGAGAATATCTCGCACTGGGTCCTCGCAGCATCTTCCCGAGACCTCAGGCGGTCGTTTAATTCAAGCACATAAATCGGCGATATAACGAAGCTATTATTCATGCGAGCGTACGCGAGAGCCTTACACACCTAAAGTCCTTGGCACAAACATAAATTATTATTAATACTTTATATATATATATATATATATATATATATATATATATATATATATATATATACCTTAGAGATTTATATTTTATTTGTTCCATCGTAATGTGGGACGTACGCTGATCGATCAGGGACTACTTTCTACTTCGCCCATTTCATAATCAGATAATTGTTTCTACGCGCGACTCGTGCCAGCTCGCTTCAATCCGAATAACGTAACTACAGGAATCTGGTAATGGCGGTATTAAGTATCTTGAGTATCTTGAAATCCGGGCAGCTATCCAAGATTACCTATCGACTATTTGTACCGTCTGAGGTTGCGCCGCCACTACTGCTGGCAGCAATTACCAGACACCCCGTATTAGGGAACATTGATCGGCGGAATCGATCGTATCCCCTGCTGTTGTGTACATACACGCACGGCGGATATGTACAACGAGAACGACCCCTCGGCCACTACCACCCAATCGGCTGGCTAGGCAGAGGAAGTGATTATAGACTACATCCTGGAGCGCTCGCCCTGTGCACGCTCGCTAAATCGAATCGAATGTCGACCGGGACGGCCGGCGTGTGCGAGGAAATCGTCGTCAGAGGAGGATCGATATGGCAATACGGTACAATACGGTACGAGAACGGGTGATTCCGTTATTTGTACGAATATCTGCGACAATCATGATATCGATGGGCGTCAGTCAACTTCGTACGGACAAGTAGCCACCACTTAGACGCGGAGAGTATTTCGCGCAATCATCCACTTCCGCTTATTAATTAAATGCACGCACCTCTCTAAATCACAAAGATAAAATCAATTAAGGTAGCGATCATTCCGGGACGGATAAAAACGCGAATATGAAAATTACGCTATAAATATGACAAAGATAAAGAGGGGAGAAATCTTGATGTACATGCCCCTCACTTGGAATCCTTAAAGA